TTCTTAAAGTAATAAGTACATACCTAGTATCGATTTTTCACTTTCAACATTTATAACCTTTACAAATAGTTTAAGTTGTAAATGTATCAATTACAGCCATATAACGTCATATAAAACTTCAAATTTAAAAAAAAAATTGAGTATGATTTATATACTTGAATAGCTAATAAATATAAGAAGATGTGGTATAAGTGCCAATGAGACAACTATCCATCCAAGTCACAATTTATAAAAGTAAACCATTATAAGTCAGAGTACGGCCTTCAACACGGAGCCTTGGCTCACACCGAACAGCAAGCTATATAGGGCCCCAAAAAATGACTAGACTAAGTGTAAAACCATTCAAACAGGAAAACCAACGGTCTAATCTATATAAAAAAAAAGAGAAACGAGAAACACTTATGAACAACATCAACAAACGACAACCACTGAACAACTGGTTCCTGTCTAAGTTTTACTTTAAAAAAAAGTGTGCATGGAAATTCTTGTAGAAGAAAATCCTTTATCTTATCAAAATCTTCTGAAATATACGTCTATTGAGTTATTGTCTTCGCATACTCTTCTTCGCCAAAAGCTTTTCCATATGCAGTGACCTTCGACAATCGCACTACATAAAAGCGCGGGAAAATCCGTAATTAAATAAACACAATCGTACACTGGAATGATACTAAAAATAGTAAATTCCCTATATACAGAAGGTAATTCAGTTTACAAAACAGTTAATAATTCTTCCCGTGGCCTTCTACATTTACAAAAAGATACCTGTAACAAAATGTTTATAAGATGATGATACATTAACAATGGGAGTAATATATAAGCAAAAACATACTAAATCGATGTATACAAGGGCACATATATAGTACAGGTAGACACATACCATTGACTTAAATGTTTATAGTACAATTATAACATTTTAACTGCCAAAAAGTTCTCATCCTGTATTTTCAAGAGTTAAGCTTGTAAATAGTGTTAATTGATTCTGAAATACACCAAATCATTTAACCATTGTTATGGCAAAGTTAAATTAACAAATGGGAACGCATGGCAAATATAAAAAAATAACATCGCTCTAATAACTCATTTATTTCTCACGTACTCCATGATGATGTGTTTATCATTAATCAAGGTCACTATCCGGGGAACGTTGGCACAAAATTTAATGAGCAGCTAAAGTTCAATCAGGGAATGCAATATTTGTTGTCGATTATATGTCATTTGCTCGTAATAAGTGCAAAAACGTGCATTAAAGACTTACATGAAACTCGTTTCATATGACTAAAAGATAATATTATAACACTAATGCGATTAAGTTTCGTCTCTTTATCTTTTAGTGATCAGTATGAATTCTCCTAATCAATGTACAAAATATGAACTCTACTAGAGATATGTGGCAAATGTGATCATATTTTTTCACTGCCTTTTCTTTACCCCACGTAATGCATTTTAGAAAATTGATTAACATAAAGTTGGTAAATCTTTGAAAAGGACGAAATCCTTTACACATGGGCAATATCACGAGTGTTTGTAAGCGTTTGTTATTTTTATTTTGAAGGTAATGCATACTTTATTATGATGTAATTTCTAATTTACAGCAAATGGTACAATGTATAAATTTAAAGAAACATAATTTGTGCTATATTTTCATGTACAAGTAAACACTTAGGATGTCTTCAAAATGTCTGTATAATTTGTATAAAAAATAATAATATTTCAGTACTGTAAATTCACAACAGTAGTTTTCCCAATTCAATATACAAAGTTTATACATATTATAATATAGCTTAAATCAAATGAAAACTCCAGTATTACCATGATAGTTGTCTCTGTTTTGTATTACATCATCTACTAGAGTTTCTAAGCATTGAAGCTTTATTTCAATAACACATACAGTAACTAATACTTATGGTCAATAGAAGCCAATGATAATGTACCAACAGTACCTTCCAAGTAATTATTGGTCACACACAATATTTGTAATAATGAATTGCTTGACGCCACCGTGGAGATGTTAAAGAGATGACCAAAATAGGTACCGAGTCTTTGTTTTATATTTGATACCAAAATGCAGAAATTATTCCTCCTGACAGTTACAAATAAAACCAGAAAAAATGCCTACATAATTGTTAGTATAGTCACTAAGTTTATTTGTATAGTTTTGTCTCTATACAATGCAGACGATCGTTATCTGTGCATAATTACCCGCTTGCTCTATGGTGTTCAGTACTTTGACTTCCTTTGTTTTAGAATTATTGGCGTTGGGCCTTCCTGATGACGATAAACTCGTAAAAGCACTTTGGGCGAACAACATTTATAAAGTATAATTTTCAATTTTTCTACTAAGCATAATACCTGTCATCCAATGAATTACATTGTAAAAGAGATTCAAAAGATACCAAAGTGACATTCAAACTCACAAATCGCTATATTGAGTATTAAATAATACAATTTATAATCAAATACGTTAGGATTATTCTGTATGCATGTTATAACTGCTCAGAGATTTTATTCTAATCGTTTTGTGCTCAGAAACTTATAAAACCCTACCATATTAGTTATGCGTCTGTCCCAAGCAAAGAGCCTAAGTATACTTCAGCAGTTGTCATTGGTTGATGTCTACTGTAGTTAATTTTCGCTGATAAGATAAGTGAAAATATAAGATCGTTGATTTTTTCTTTTGAATTTTTTCACATTTATGTCATTCAGAGGCCTTTTATAGTCTACTTTTTGATAGCCTTACGTTAACTTTTCATGTTCATACATGTTTCATTATTATTTGGTCATTTGAAAAGACTTGTTCTAGAAGGTTATCAGTTTGTCGATGTTTTGTGACTTCTTTACACAAAATCTACATGGGATGTTGATTGTGTGCTGATTGGTACTTTAATCTTAGATGTGTGCTTTTTGTTAGTTGTTACTGGCTTCGAGAAATAGCTTTCAGTACTGCGAGTACTCTCAGATTTGTTGTGTCTTTAGTGATTTTCCTTATTGTTTTTGGGCGTTGTATTGTTCGGATGAGTTAAGTTCTTTCGCATTACTTTTTAAGCTCACCGGGGCCCGAAAGGCCCCATGTGAGCTTATGCCATCACTTGGCGTCCGTCGTTTGTCGTCGTCGTCGTAAACTATTTCAAGAATCTTCTCCTCTGAAACTACTAGGCCAAATACCTTCAAACTTTAACTGATGTTCCTTAGTGTATCTAGTTTATAAATTGTATCCGAAGTTTTGATCCATCAACAAACATGGCCGCCATGGCTAAAAATAGAACATAAGGGTCAAATGCAGTTTTTGGCTTATATCTCAAAAACTAAAGCATTTAGAGCAAATCTGACACGAGATAAAATTGTTCAATATGTGAAGATCTATCAACCCTGAAATTTTCAGACGAATCGAACAACCCATTGCAGGGTTCCTGCCACAAAATTGGTAATTTTGAAGAAATTTTGCAATGTTTGGTTATTATCTTGAATATCATTGAAGATAAAGATAAACAGTAAACAGCAAAAATGTTCAGCAAAGTAAGATCTACAAAAAGTATTACCAAAATTGTCAATTGACCCCCTTTAGGAGTTATTGCCCTCAAAAGACAATTTTACACAATTTGTTCATCGTGTTTGCTAACATTTAAAAATGTTTTTCAGTGAAACCACTGGGCCTAATACTTCTAAACTTTAACTGAATGTTCCTTAGAGTAACTGGTTTATAAATTGTATCAGAAGTTTTGATCCATTAACAAACATGGCCGCCATGGCATAGATAGAACATAGGGGTCAAATGCAGTTTTTGGCTTTTATCTCAAAAACTATAGCAGTTAGAGAAAAAGTGACATTGAGTTAAAGTGATGAATAAGTGAAGATCTAAGACAATCTGCTATGAAATTTTCAGACCAATTGGACCACCCATTGTAGGGTTACTGTCCGAAATAGTTTATTTTATGAAATTTTACTGTTTTTGGCTATTTTCTTTAATAATATAATAAATAGAGAGAAAGTGTAAAAGGCAAAAATGTTCAGCTAAGTAAGATCTACAAATAAGTTAAATGATCAAAATAGTCAATTGACTCCTTAAGGAGTTACTGCCCTTGACACGTTTTTTTTTTACATTATTTCGTGGAAGTCTATTACTGTTTAAAAAATCTTCTTCTCTGAAACTACTGGGACAAATGCTTCTTAACTTTAACTGAATGTTCCTTAGGGTATCTAGTTTATAAATTATATCCGAAGATTTGATCCATCAATAAACATGGCCGCCATGGCTAAAAATAGAACATAGGGGACAAAAGCAGTTTTTGGCTTATACACATGTATTTCAAAAACTACAGCAGTTAGAGCAAAAGCGAAAGAGAGTTAAAGTGATAAATGGGGCATGATCTATCTGTTATGAAATTTTCAGACGAGTTCGACAACCCATTGTTGGGTTACTGTTAGAAATAGTTTATTTTTATTAAATTTTACTGTTTTTGGTTATTTTCTTTAATATTATAATAGATAGAGGGAAAGTATAAATGGCAATAAATGTTCAGCTAAGTAAGATCTGCAAATAAGTCAACATGATCAAAATAGTCAATTGACCCCTTGATGAGTTATTGCCCTTAAAACATTTTTTTTTTTACATTTTTTGTGAAAGTCAAATTACTTTTTCAAAAATCTTCTTCTCTGAAACAAGCATGTTTAATCCCGCTACATTGTGTATATGCCTGTTGCAAATCATGAGTCTGTAATTTAGTGGTACATGAAGTACTTTGTTGCTGAATATCATTTTTTCACAAATTGTTTTGTTCATAGATCATGTAGATTAGGCCTTAAGTTGTCGCGTTTGAGTTGTCTTAAATTTGTCACTATGGGGCCTTTCATCGCTTCATATGTGGTATGGTTTTTACTCATTGTTGAACACTATACGGTGAACTATAGTTGTTAACTTCTACGTCATATGGTCTCTGGTGGAGAGTTGTCTCATTGACAATTATACTAGATCTTCATATTTTCATATATGAAAATCCTTGTAAATTGATAGATATTTTATTAGTTATCTACTTTGAAATCGACACATTCAATCTGCAAATTTGACATAACTTTTGACGTTTTATTGTCTTTACAATGAATAATCCTGCAACCATATGAATGCACCATTTCAGCAAAAGTTTTGTGCATAGAGTTCTACTTATAAATTTATATATCATATAACATAATTTACTTCGAAGATCTTTATAATAATGATCATAATGGCAGCACTTATGCCTCCTCTGATGGCCGTACCAGAACTAGCAGGGAGAGACATCTGAGTATCTACAAATCAAAGTGTAAAGCATCGGAAAAAAATATTACAAAAACATGAAAAACTTCTAGCTAGATCATAACAAAGGCATTGTTATCAAATTTAAGGAAATAGCATGTACTTATCTATGAATATTTCGCTTCACAAAGAGAGGCAGAAGAAACCAAGGGATAAGTCGAAGAAAAAACGTTTGTATACGTGTTGTATTCATCAACAGTTAAACACATTATAACAAGCCTGTTGTGCAGTTGAATATTTTCTACCCGTTGATACACCCTTCACATTCTCCTGTTAAGTGATTAGAAGGGTGCAAAACACAATTTGTTGAACAGTTTCTTAGACAATTTCCACCGAAAGAACCATCTCTACAAACTGTGGAAAATACACAACTCAAACAAGAAAACAAACAGCCTGACACTAGTAAACACATGGTAGTCAGGAACGGTCATTTTCATCATTACATCATCTCAAATGTCTGAACAATAAATAATTTAGTCATGTTCAGTCTTTCAGTCAATTTTCAGATTTATTGACATTAGTGAATTCCGTACGGTTACAGCCCTTGGATGGTGTAAACTTCCAAAAAAAAAAAACGTGTATGGTGTAATGGTGTATGGCATATGGTGCAATGGTAGAAGGTGTATGGTTCTATGGTGTATGGTGTAAGGGGAATGGTGTAATGGTGTAACGTGCGATCGGGTATGGTGTGAATGAATGGTGTACGACATTTAAAACTATGCAAAATATTGAACTGATTGTTAATTTTGTACATTAATTTACAATATTGTGATCAAAATTTGTTTTCTAAAATAAATAAATAATTTTGTAGTTGCACGCTTTACTTGAAATTAAACTGCATTATGGTGTAATGTGTAAGGTGTAGGGTGCAAAGGTGTAACGTATATGGTGTAATGGCACAGGGTGTATGGTGTAATGGTGTATGCTGAATGGTGTAATGGTGTATGGTGTTAGTGGGAAGTTTACACCATCCAAGGACTGTAAGACAACTTGCTTGTAGTCAATTCAGTCTGTTGTTAATCTGTACAGATAAATAACAACTACTGAAAAGTTTAAACATAGACTTGCAGATTTTAATTGCAAGCCAATTGTCGGAACAGTACTGATTTTCTGCAGTGGAAAAATGTCTGAAAATTGAATGAAAAAAAAAAAACCAAACAAATGGCTTGATAATTAACATGGTTAATTTATATAAAATTAAGAGACTTGGTATGATTGCCAATGAGACAACTATCCACCAAAAGTTCAATGAAGTTGATACTGTTCAGTTTTTGAGAACTGTTCAGATCAAAATGATCTTCTTAAATGTATATTTAAACAATAAATACCTAGTATTAAATTAGATTTGATAAAAAATTGACACTGAAGATTGGCATTTATTGAGCGAAAATTTGTCAATACGATTTTATAACATCACTATCTTCATATATACATACATATATATATATCCGTTAACATTTGTTGCGTCAGCATTAATTTTTCTTTAAAACATTTTACTAAAAGAATGTTTTGCTTTATAGACCTAACGAAGATTTCTTAATAATATTTTCATTGATTGTATATATTCATGGTTTGTTGGAGTAATGTCTTCTACTACAGAAAACATTGAGTTTAATTCTGGTGTTAACTTTGATATTTCCAAATTCAACGATAGCTGAAAATAGAATTATTTTCATTTGATCCAAAAGAGTATCTTATCTACGATCAGGGATTTATTATTTCTTTATCAAACATATGTATGTGTGTAAGGAGCAGTTGTTTTAAGGTCTTTTAGAAGTGGAACGACAATGTTAATGATAAAAATTATACCTACATATGACCACAACATTTGTGTTAGGTCTCCTCTTTCGTATACAGTTGTATAACTTGGATATAAGGTTGCTTGTTTAACGGTAATGGAATTATCATAAGCAAGCATTACTCACTTTTATTACAGTACGGTCCATGCTCATAGCCTGGTTTACATCCACTACTATCAACACATTCACCATTAAAACGATCACATGCACTTTCAATACAACCATCACAAGATTCAGAACAATCCAACCCAAATGTTCCTTTGCTACACTCTGAAAAAGTTAATTACCAATATATTTTGTTATCAGATAGAATATTTAAACACGCTGAGTTTCGTATCACGAACAACACTAACAACACCTTATGAAGCACAATACTTGCAAACGGACTGTAAAGTACAATAATCATGACATTAATTAATTAGATCATTCATAACACCATCGCCTTAATTTACCATTCGAACTCTAATATATGCATCACGATCTTATTATAAATAAAAGCAGTTGATATTAGTATACGACTTTTCAGAATAAACGTATTAAAATATTGCAGGATATAAAAGAAAACAACAATTTCTTTGTGCATATATGATCATAGTGATATAATTCTTACCTTCATCACACGATTGACCATGCCAGCCCTTTTTGCAGCCGCCATCAGAGCAAATACCACTGTTTTTTTCACACGGGTTGTTCAAACAGTAACAAATTTTTGTGCAATTGGTTCCAAAGTGCCAATTCATACAAGCTTCAAAACAACAATATGCATATATATGTGCGTACATCGTGAGAAGATCGCAGTATATTCTTCATTTTAAAAGTAAAGCAACATTTTGAGTGGGAGCAAAATAAAGATCAGCACTGGTTTTTTTAGGATTTTTTTTTGTTCTAGTTTGTCAATGTTTGAATTTTTTTTAAAGTTTTTTCAAAAAGGTTTAGTCGTTGTTGTCTACTGAAATTTATGTCCCGTGTGCAAGTTTGAAATAGTCCTGATGATAGATTATCAGGGGTTTCATTCTTTACAGACTAGATCATGAAGTTTCATATTCCACATTGTTCAGTCTCTTTTTATGTTCCACATTACGTTGTATTATGAAACTATGTTTATTTTTTATTGTTACTTGACAAATGTGTTCATTATAAAATTTTGAAGAGCAGAAATTGAAAGAATTGTCAAAATGAAATTCTTAATTACCCGAAGTATAACATTGGTGTGTTTGGTTTTTCGAGAAAAATTTGTATCAGACAGTCTAAAATAGGCGATATTATACAGATAAGGACAACATTATAAAAACCCTGAGATATACGCAACGAAAGTTATAGAAGATGGTAATATACGAAAAAGTTAACATAAACACCTAGTATTGTTTTTCATTTGATAAATAGACACAAAAGAAGGCCATTTGTTGAGCCGAAAATTTGTCAATACGATTTCATAATCTCATCTTCTTCGTATGTATATACAATTGAACATTTGTTGCGCTAGCATTCATTTTTCTGTGTAACACATATTACTTAAAGAATATTTTGGTGTTGTAAACCTATATAGACGAATATTTCTTTATACTCTTTTCATCGATTGCATATATAATCCTGCTTTGTTGGAATAATGTCTTGTACTACAAAAAACACTGACTTATAATTCTGGTGCATACTCTGATATTTCCGACTAGAGCTGAAAATATAATTATTTTTTGTTTATTCTAAAACAGCATCTTATCATCGATAAGGGATTTATTATTTCTTTACAAAACATTTGTATATATGTAAGGAGCTGTTGTTTCAATTTTTTTTAGAAGTTGACTGACACGATGAATGATGAAATTAAGACCTCTATATGACCATAACATTTTTGTTCGGTCTAGTCGTTCGTATAAAGTTGTAATCCTTGGTATAGTTTGTTGGTTTAACGGAAATGGAAGCCTTATAAGCAAGCATTACTTACTCTTATTACAGTACGGTCCATATTCATACCCTGGTTTACATCCACTACTATCAATACATACACCATCACAACGATTACATATACTTTCAATACAGCCATCACAAGATTCATTACAATACAACCCAAATTTGCCTTTGTCGCACTTTGGAGTAGCTAAATATTAATACATTTTGTTATCAGATATAATATTCAAACACGGAGAGTTTCGTATCATGAACAACACTAACAACACCTATTGTAACACAATATTCGTAGATCATCACACGATTTACCATGCCAGCCCTTTTTGAAGCCGCCATCAAAGCAATTACCACTGAAATGTTTACACGGGTTGTTCAAACAGTGACACATTTTTGTGCAATTGGCTTCAAAGTGCCAATCCACACAAGCTTCAAAACAACAATATGCATATATATGTGTGTACATTGTGACAAAATCGCAGTACATTCTTTATTTTAAACGTAAAGCAACATTTTGAGTAAGAGCAACATATAGATCAGTCATGTTTGTTTTTCTTCGTTTTTGTTATAGTTTTTATTTCTTAAGGTTTTGATCCAAACGTTTTGTCGTTGTTGCCTGCTTGAATATATGTCTCGTGTGCAAGTTTGAAAGAGTCCTGATGATATATAATCAGGAATTTCAAGTTTAACAGAGAAGATCATGCTGTTTCCTTTTTCCGCATAGTTAAGTCTCTTTTTATGTGTTATTACGCTGTATTATGGAACTATGTTTTTTGTGTGTTCCTTTACAAACTTTAAAGAGCTGCAATTATAGAAATTGTCAAAATGAAATTCTTAATTACCTGAAGTATTACATTGGTGTGTTATAATACTTGTTTCGTTTTACAAGCAAAATTTGTATCGAACCGTCTAGAATAGGCGATATTGTGCAAATACGGACAACATTATATAGTCTAAAGATTTCCGCAACGAGAGTGATAGAAGATGGTAATATACGAAGATGTTTACACAAACAACTAGTATTCTATTACATTTGAAGATCGCCATTTGTTGAGCCGAAAATTTGTCAATACGATTTTATTGCACCATCTTCTTGGTATGATACATATATCATTGACCTTTTGTTGCGTCAGGATTCATTTTTCTTTAAGACTTTTTACTTAAACTTGTTAAAGAATATTTTGGTTTTGTAGTTTCTTAATACTCTTTTCATCGATAGCATATATAATCGTGCTTTGTTGTAGTAATGCATGGTACTACAGAAAACATTGACTTATAATTCTGGTGCATACTTTGATATTTTCAACCTCGATGATAGCTGATAATAGAACTATTTTTCATTCAATCTAAAAGAGTATCTTATCTACGATAAGGGATTTATTATTTCTTTATATACTTATATGGAGTTATTTCTTCCAGAACGATAGGTTATTCTTTCGAAGAATCAACCCGGACGATACCATGTTTCAATGAAATATTCTCCAAGGCATAAAATAATCATATGTGTGATGTCATTATTTTTCTTGATAAAAATGCAAACTATAATTTACTTCAAAATTATATTCGTCTGATAGTTTTTGTTGCCGATTTGGGAATTTATTTTTTAAAGTTCAATCTATGATAGGTTTAAAAAAAATCGTCATTGCCCGAATTTTAATTTTAGAAACAATAATGTGAAGTTTTGTTAATTTATCGCTACAATACAGAGACATTATCATATATGCGAGATGAATTCTAATGTAAAACTTTCATAACACTTTAAAATAAAGCCAGATTTAACATATTCGTGTGTAAGATTTTGAAAATCTTATTGATTCACACTTAATAGGTTGATTGATTGATGGTTACTTAACGTCCAGTGGCAAATATTTCATGCATGTTCAGGACGATACACACTGAATAGGAAATCATACTGTGGCCTACATGTATTGATATTCGTTTTCGTGTAACATGTACATGTATCACGATTTCGTACCCCCTTCGTGTCAGTTCTTAACTTTTTTACATTTATGTATACCTTTTACTCTATCAAATGATTAACTAATAAAATATTCTTATATTCTATTGAATAACATTCATGTACCTCACAATGAGGTCGGGTTGGGGAAGGGTAATAATTATATCCTGATTATCTGTTAAAAAATGTATTGCTATTCAAAAGAAAATCATTCTGAATATTTCATTCGATTCAATTAAAATTGTTGAAAAAATAATCACTTTTCCGCGATGAAATGTTATTACAAATAGACAAAAAAAAAAACACAGCACCTCCCCCTTTCGATAAACTAAGTTGGTACAATAAATTACTTACAAAGTATCTTGTTTTTTTCATACACCTTTATCAGATGGTAACAATTCATTTGTGTCTTTTTCTTGTCGTAGAACACACCTCGGGGTGTCATGATTGCCCAAAGAAAGTCCTCCCTGCGGTCGGTCTTTCATTTGATCAATCCTGACACCCCTTGGTGTGTTCTACGACAAGAAAAACCTTAAAAAATGCATTATCTATAACTTACCAAAAAATATGTATATATGTAAGAAGCGGTTGTTTTAAGTTCTTTTAGACGTTGAACGACACGGTAAATGATGATAGTTAGACCTACATCATGTACAAATGACCATTACATTTTTATTAGGTCTAGTCGTTCGTATAAAGTTGTATTACTTGGATATAGTTTGCTGGTTTAACAGAATGGAAGTTTTATAAGCAAGTATTACTTACTCCTATTACAGTATCGTCCATACTCATAGCCTGGTTTACATCCATAACTATAAAAACAATCACCATTCAAACGATCACATTTACTTTCAATACAACCATCACAAGATTCAGAACAATCCAACCCATATTTTCCTGTGCTGCACGCTGAAACAGTTAATCATTAATACGTTTTGTTATCAGATATAATATTCAAAAAAAGCAGAGTTTCGAATCATGAACAATACTAACAAAACCTTCAGTAGCACAATATTTGTGGACGGTCTGCTGAGTACAATAATCATGACATAAGATAATTAAATTATAATACCGCCTTAATTTACCATTCGAACTCTAATATTTGCATCCCGATCTTAATATGAAGTAAAGCAGTTTATATATTGGTAATTGGCTCTCAAGGACAAAAGTATTAAATTATTACAGGAGATAAACGAATACAACTTTTTCTTTGTGTATAAATGATAATGATATAATTCTTACTTTCATCACACGATATACCCTCTATGTCTAAATTACCCTGGCAAAAAATGTTTGGACTCGATGGTATCTAATATCCGGCACGGTGACGGAACATCAATAGACAGAGAAAAGGTAGTTTTCTGTTTTTTTATTTGTTGTTTTTATGATATCGAAGAATATATATACGTATATAACTATTTTCTATTGTGAGATGTAATAATTTCTACAACCGTTCTAGGTTAACGGAGAAATAAGTAAAAATGCACGTCAAAATGACAAATTATGTGAACCTTACCTCGAATTTGTTTAATTTCTCGTTAAATTGTTCACATGGTACGGAAAGAAAGATATTGACATGGAGATTGCAAAACTAGTCACTTTGAGCACCTAAATACTTGTATTTCTGCGAATGGAACGAAAGAAATGGGTCATGTCAAAACAGAAGCGCCCGGTTTTGTCAATGTTGTTTATTACACAATGACCCGGTTTTGTCTATGTATAGAACCCGGTTTTGTTTATTTTATGAAAAGCAACGTTAACACCGGTATTCTGAAACAAAAAAACAAATTTACAAATGGCTGATCATGTGGGTTTTCAAACCAGATACCTCAATAAAGCCTGTGGCTAAGTTTAATTACATTGTTAAAGAGGAGAAGATTTTTGTAAGATAATTGGCAAAAACGCAAAGAAATGGTAAAAATCGCAATTAAAGGTGAATAATGCTTACAAGGACATCGACCAAGTCGACGTATTCGTATATATTGTCTTGCTGTTTTGCTATGGATATAACTTTTAAATATTTCAAGATAATAGACAGAAATGGAAAAAAGAAGAAATTTGTCATTCGAGGACATTAACTTCTATAAGAGTTCGTGTGAGAGTTTTGATGTATATGGACAAACGGTAGAGCTCAACAATGTGAACATATCTGTTTCTGTTAAATTTTCTCTATCTATAGCTGTTTTACAAAAATAATAGACAAAACTTGCATCCCCCTATGTTCTATTTTAAGCCATGTCGGCCATCTTTGTTGACAAGCGGGGTCATCAAAAACTTTTTAAACTAGATACCCCAATGATGATGAAAAACAGTTAAACATAAGTTCGTTAGACCTTTTAAAAGCTACATAAGGTTGCGGATAAGGTTTGTTAAATGTTTTGTAGCCCAGTAATTTCAGAGGAGAAATTATGTAAAAAATTAACGGAAGACGACGACCGACAGGGGCCAAGTGATGAAAAAAAACCTCATATTTCCCTTGGGGTCAGGTAAGCTAAAACCAACCAAGAATTCCAAACAAGATTGCACCGTTCTTGAATGAAAAAAATGTCTAACAATTCATAATTAAGGCTTACACGAACGAGATAAACTAATCATACATGGCAAAATAACTTCAATTGCGTTTTTTTTTAACAAAAATGAATACTACGTATTATTTATACAAGAGTTACTGTACGCACTGACATGTCGCGACTGCTGGAATGATCGTTATTGAATTTATTTTGAAGGTCTGTAAGATAAATAATTAAATAATAGTATTACATAAAATTAACATGGTTCATGGAACCATAAAAAAAAGTCAAGGTCTGATAAAACCTGCCAGACGGACATGAACACATTACAATCATTAAAACAAACCAACAAAAAATATAAAACTTAACATTTACCAATAAATCAAAAAAATAAGTTCAAGGTCACATAAATAGTCATTTGCGCCATACAAGCAAATATAGTTGACCTATTACTTATGATATTAGAGATGCGGACTTGAACACGAAATGTTAACCTTGATCATAGATATCAGCCTTTATCAGCTATTCATTTTGTAAGGAAATCGATGAACCATGAAAATGATGTCAAGGGCAATGGACATATATATGACAGATAGAAACATCGTTACATAAAACGTCTGTGTACGAGGTTTGTTGCAGTCAAACCTTCTAACTTCTGACATATAAAGCTTCATACAAATAGTTCAAGCCGCCACGAATTTGCATCCCTTGGTCTCGCATTCCGACAATTCCAAAATATCAATGTGAATTTTTCGAATAAACATGATAATCTTACTCACATTCATCCAATTTCGCGGGTGTCCCTGGTTTCTTAGTTCTTATAAAATTTTAATTTGGTTTACGATTTAGTTATATAACATCAGTGGCAAATCCAGGCGGCGTATAGGTCGCACGCCCCCATTCCCACTTTTGATGGCCAAAAAAATATTAAATCTTTTTCTTTACGATTTATTTTAGCATAAATTCGTCCAAAACATTGTTCGCTTCGCTACGCTCTGTGGTATGTAAGCCGTTTGAATTACGCCTATTTTGAAAAAAAACTGAATCCGTCCCTATATATTGTCAATGTACGATAATCATAACACAATGGAGAGATAACAGAATTGCTTATTTATTAATAAAATAATCATTATTGCATTTTCTCGATGGCCTGAAACTATTATTCTAATTTATACTTAGTATTATAGTTACAATTGGGGATAAATAGATTTGATTTTTAATGCATGATTATTATAATCCTTTTCACACCATAAACATTCATTTTCTATGGCGATTCTGCATGCATATATACATTTGTCTGATTATCATGCCTTATAATGAACATTTAGCCCTAAGAAGATTTATTTTAAACGATCATAGGAAAGATTACACCCCTAGATTACTTATAAAGATAACCATCCTGTTGTGCAAGAAAATCACATATCAAATGTGCGTCCTTTAATTTTTAAAACCATGAACTCTAATTTTAAGTTTAAACACTCAAATTTACATAATTCATATAAAAAAAAACATAAAGAGAGCTTAAACCTCAATTTGCGGTTTAACCTTCATTTCTATCTATTTCGCAATAAGAGTATTTTTTTAAATGCAAAGCAAAATAATAATTATAATTATTTTTGTTCCAATAAAGTAGGAATTCAAGTGTTTGAGGATTCAAATCAATAATTTGTTGTCCTCTGTGAGAAATCGTTTTCCAACCAGCCACAAAACTCCTTTTAAACGCTGAGGTTCAATTATGTTATGCAATTATGCATTTTTTTTTCTTTGACAAAACCGGGTTCTGCCTTGTGAATTCAAGGACAAAACCGGGTTGTACACATTGACAAAACCGGGTGCTTCCATTTTGACATGACCCGTTTCTTTCGTTCCATACACAGAAATACAAGTATTGAGGTGCTCAAAGTGACTAGTTTTGCAATCTCCATCTCAATATCTTTCTTTCCGTACCTTTCTTTCCGTACCATGTGAACAATTACCGAGAAATTAAACAAATTCGAGGCAAGGTTCACTCAATTCGTCATTTTGACGTGCATTTGTACTTATTTCTCTGTTAATCTAGAACGGTTGTAGAAATTATTACATCTCACAATAGAAAATAGTTATATATGTATATGTATTCTTCGATATCATAAAAATAACAAATAAATAAACAGAAAACTACCTTTTGTCTGTCTATTGATGTTCCGTCACCGTGCCTGATATTAGATACCATCGGGTCCAAACACTTTTTGCAGGGGTAGTTTGGACACAGTGATACAACACCAGCCCTTTGCAGCTGCCATTAAAGCAATTGCCAGAAGAATTTTCATTCGGGTTGTTCAAACAGTAAAAAATGTTTTGTGCAATTGGATCCAAAGTGCCAATCCACACAATCATCAAAATAACAATATGTATACATAAGTGCCTACATTGTGACAAAATTGCAGTTCATTTTTCATTTAAAATGTAAAGCAACATTTTGAGCGGGAACAAAATAGAGATCAACACTGGTTTTTTTAGGGTTATTTTTTTCTTTGTTTTTTTTCTAGTTTGTATTTATTTTTTTAGTTTTTTTTTCAAAACTTTTGTCGTCGCTTCTTAAATGTACGTCCCTTGTGCATGTTGTGCAAGTTTGACACAGAACAGAAAAAAAGTAAAATAACAAAAATACCGAACTCCAAGGGTAATTCAAAACGGAAAGTCCTTTCTAAAATGACAAAATCAAACTTTCAAACACATCCAACGAATGGAAAACAACTGTCATATTCCTGAATTGGTACAGGCATTTCCTTATGTAGAAAATGGTGGAGTAGATCATGCAGTTTCATAATCCGCATAGTTCAGTCCTTTTTATGTTATATCACGTTGTTTTAGAGATTTCCTATAAAATGACGAAACTCGACATAAACAACCTACAATGACGGAGGGGATCATAGACTCATTGATATTTTTGCTCGTCGAACACACATATTTTGTAGGAATAATTGTTTTTCAAAAATAAACACAATTTTCTATTTCAAATCTTTACATATTTTGTTAGATTCTGGCTGACTTTATAAGCAACAACCTTTTAAGGGAATAATTAATCCAGTTACAGGTCATCAAACGCACCGACCATTACTTGGTCATTTAACTTGACCCATATATTTAGTTCTCAAAGGATAAATTCTTAAAAGTTCTAAAATCAAAATTTAGCTTAAAAGAATAAAATAATTAAATCAAAAGCGAGATGATGTTCTCATATTTTATTTATAAGTTATAAGGTTGTCACAGGGGTTTCAAACACGCCGGAATATCAAAAGTGTACACGACTTACTTCTTTTTTCGTATACTTATATCATTTTTTCAAGATACTTTTGTCAGAGGGAGAAATTCAGATAACTGATGTATCTGTATCTGATGGAACTTTATCATCTTTCT